TGTATGTATGTATGTATGTATGTATGTATGTATGTTAACATGATTAAACCAAAACATGATGAGTGACACTGAACCGTCAAACATCAAGTAACAAATGGATTAACACTTTGATTTGTCGTTAATTGCACATGTCGGCATTCAGTTGGATATTTTCAAGCACACAGACACGCAGGAACCGCTGCAACAAGCACGAAATGTGGTTAGTTGCGAAAAACAGTTCCCTGCTGTCGCCTGATCTGACGCTGATCATTTTGCATATTTCCTTAAGAAATTTAAGGGTGTTGGGGTCCATCGGGCCAAGAACCTCCATGCATATTGGCAAGAATTCCATCGAGGGGAGGGGGTTCCCATATTTTTTCATTTTCTCGTCCGCTGCCCTGGCCGCGGCCAAACCGCATTCTTTACTTGTCAGGTTTACGTATCGTTCGGCGAGGGTGCCAGGGACCGTAACATCCCACGCCAAACATCTGCCGGCTCTCCAAGGTATTAGCGTGCATCCGTCCTGGCGCCTACCATCATGCGCAGAAATGCCGGATGGTTCCTTGAGAACCGGGATTGAAGCCTTGGAAAAGAGCTGACAAATGTAATCGTTTAGCGCTGAGTGACGTAGTTGACGGCCCCCACCCAGGCGACAAACCAAACCGTGGTGCCCAAACTCGTCCGCCCCAGCGCCACATCGGCACGTGTATTTATTCTGAATGACCAGGCCAAGTCTTAAGCCAATGGCAAATCTCACAGACTCGTCGTCAAGCCTGGTGCCCACAGAGGTGTTGGGCCACGATCTCAACTGCACGGCCAAACCGCATTCTTTACTTGTCAGGTTTACGTATCGTTCGGCGAGGGTGCCAGGAGATTAATTAAGAAATATGAATAAGGCATATGTATGTATGTATGTATGTATGTATGTATGTATGTATGTATGTATGTATGTATGTATGTATGTATGTATGTATGTATGTATGTATGTATGTATGCATGTATGTATGTATGTACGTATGTATGCCTGTATGTATGTTTATATGTTAGTTTGTATGCCTCATTCATGTTAAAAATAATTTAAACATGCAAGTAGGCAGCAGAAATAGATATAGCATTAATTCGAACAGTTATTTTTTTGTTAATAATAATAACAATATTATTATTATTATTATTATAACCATTTTCCAAATTGTTTGATCTATATAATAATGGAGATTAATTAAGAAATATGAATAAGGCATAAATAAAACTATAAAAATATGAACACACACATGCACATATTTGTATGTACGTTTGTATGTATGTATGCATATATGTATGTTTGTATGTTTGTTTGTTTTTAGGTATGTATGTATGTTTGTATGCATGTTTGATAGTTTGTTTTGTATGTATGTATGTATATTTGTATGTATGTCTCCTTAAATTCTTAGCACGAGATCAATAACATGTCTGCTCTCATATCGAAAACAATTATTTTTACGCAATAACAAATGATAATAATATTATAACTTCTATAATTAGTATAATAATAACAAATAATTATAATAATAATAATAATAATAACGAATAATAACAAATAATAATAATAATAATAAAAATAATGTATAAACCAACCTATAAGAGGAAGAAACGCGCGCACGAAAAATCTCAACATGTTGTGTTGAGGATGATGATGATTATGATGATATTGTGGTTGTTGCTGTGGCTGCTGTGGCTGCTGTTGCTGCTGCTGATGTTGCTGAAGTTGTTGTTGTTATTGTTAACGTTGTTGACGTCAGTCTTTCTGAAGAAAAAAATTATTGGATGTATTATTGATTCATGCTTCTTTGTTCCATTAGAGGATTTTGTTGTTGTTGTTGTTGTTGATGTTGTTGTTGATGTTGTTGTTGTTGTTGTTGTTAATGTTGTTGATGTTGTTGTTGATGTTGTTGTTGATGTTGTTGTTGTTG